GATCACAAGGCTGCCAAATCTCTCTGCTGCTGCAGAGTGTGTGTGTGCGCGTGTAGGGGGGAGGGTTAATCACCATTCATGTTCTAATGCAGTGTTTTCTCCTTTAAATATGGGTGGAGCCTGTAGTACACAAAAGACACCATAAGGGTAGTTGTGGTGTAAACAGCCAATCAGAGTGGACCCATTGGAATCCAACATACTCCAAGAGGAGGCGAGCCAGCAGCAGAGCAGAGATGGGATGCTGCAGCAACACAGGGCTGTCCCACTGCAGAGCAGCTGCAGAGCACAGAAAGCTGGCACCAGCCCTTCATCAGGACCAGCTGGCAGGTAAAGGGATCTGAGAACTGACCTCTGTCCCTGTGGAAGGAATGTTGTCCCAATGTCCTTCACGGTCATGAAATCATGTGAAAATGTCACTTCTTAAAGTGTCTTGAAAATAGCTGTGCAGAGGAGCTGTCCTTCAGCACTATGCAGCATTCCTTAGCAGCTCTGTCCTGGTCCCAAGCAGGGAGAAGGGCGCTTGCCTTTCACAGCATCACTCTATCATAAGCATACAGCCTATGTACAGCAAATAGCTATCAGATCACGAGCCAAGAAGAGCCCCATCCAACTGCGCACTGCAAAGAGGCAGCCAGCCTACAACACTGATCATCACAGCAACGTGCTGTGTTATTACCTGCAGTATCAAATCTGCAGGAGTAGGGGGTGTCTACCAAAACCTCACATGATATCCAAGTAGCAGACCACAGCCAGAGACTAGAACCCACCACCCATAGCAAGCAAAGCATGTATGCACCCAGGTCACCCTTTGCTGTTTTACCAGCCAGCTGTGGCAGATAAAGCTTTCCTGTGTCTGCTCTGCTGCCAGGCTCTTCACTACAGTGTTACCCGTTGTAATAGTGGGGGGAGGGAAGGCTAGGAAGAGAGGAGACATTGCAGCATTGACCAATCTACAAGACCAGGGTGGGCTCCTCGGCTGCAGCAGTGCGGCGAATGCCACAGAAACTTCTCCTCTCATCTCCTCACCACCCTGCACCCAGAATGAGGCACCAAAAGGAGACATTAGTATAACATTAACCTTCCATGTATTGGAGAATTGTGTGTCTACCCTGCGATGCCAGAGAATTAACCATATGTGGCTTGGTTTCCAGTTCGCAGCATGGGTAAGTGGGTGAATAATGGGGCTGTGTTGGGTTAACTTGAGCTTAACTTATTCAGCCTTTTTTTAATGTTTTGCTGCCCATGTGGTCTAATGAGTTTGGCAGTTTTTTCGGTTAGCAAATCTGTGTTTGCAGCAAATTGCTGTGTGACTTTCTGCATTGAATTGAATACGTCTGAGTAGGGACAATGGGGATGTGCCATAGAGGAGTCTGCACCCAGGACACATCTTGCACAGGGTGAAATCAATGCATAATTGATGAGTGCAGAGGACGTCAATCTTGGGGATGTGATGTATGCTGTTACTGTCTAGCTACAAACTGCTGTTATGTCTCCACAGGAGTGTGATGCGATGCAGAAAGTTGCAAGTGTGCAGCTGCCAGGCTAGAGACTAAAGCAGCCATTCTCATCCAGGGTTCCATGGAACCCGAGGGCTCCTCCAGATAGGTTCCTTTTGCAGTGCCTGTTTGACCTCCCATCTGATGGAACATGCATAATTCTGGGTACAATGCCAATTGGCAGGGCTAGCAGCATGACACCAATTGTTTTTTTTAGCTTTCTGTAAGGGTGGCATTCTGACCACGACTGTAAGGGCATTCCTACCACTGACCACCAATGTGAGGGATACTTTTCCCAGTGACCACCATTGTAAGCCATAAATGTAAGGTGCATTCTTCACAGTGACAAACAATGTAAGGGGCATTGTTCCCCTAACTGATCACCAATGGAAGGATCATTCTTCCCACTAGCCACCAATGCAAGGGTCATTCTTTTCACTAACCACCAATTTAAGGGGCATTCTTTCCAGTGACCACCAATGTAAGGGACATTCTTCCCATTGATCACCACTCTAAGGGGCATTCTTCCCAGTGATTACTATTGTAAGGAGCATCATTCACACTGATCAACAATGTAAGTGGCATTCTTTCCACTGATCACCACTGTAAGGGGCATTCTCCCCAGTGATCACCAATGTAAGGGACTTTCTTACATTTAAGAAAACAATTTCGCAGGTGTCCCCTGAGACCTGACAATTATTTCAAGGGTTCCTCTTGGGTAAAAAGGTTGAGAAAGGTTGAGCTGAAAAATTGGATCAGAAATTTGGTTACAAGAATTCATCTCCCTGCAAGGATGCAGTTGGTATAAATATTGCATGGGTTATAAGAAAGGAAAGATAGTATTACTGAGAGGGCTTATGTAAAGATAAATGGTTCTAGCAGTTAATTTACCTAAAATACATGTCCCTAAATAGGCTTAGCGTTGGCACCCAATATAAAAAATACTGTGACTTCTAAAAAGTATTTTTTTAAATAATAAAAATCAGTATATGTATATTGACATATAATCAAATGGTCCTCTGGGATCTTGCCATGGTTGTAATAATGGTGCAGGATCGTTTATCAAACGTGTGTCCAAACTAAGAAAAATATTATACTCAGCTGATAAAATATATCCAGCTCCTTGTTCTAAAGGATCGTACTAGCTGCAATGTATAGCAAATAGATCTGACAACAGGATGTAATGGATTGTATCCCAGTCGTTTTCTCAAGCCTTTTCAGCCGTGTGGCTATCTAGAGATTAGTCCCATTTACGAGCTTTCGTGAATTCAGTCCTAGGCTTTCAAAGGATCCAGACAATACCCCTCACACATGGGGGGGGGGGGAATCCAGCACATGCTGTGCTGGAAAGTAAGTCCACCGTCTTGGCCACAGATGGAGGGCAACCACGCGCAGCAATTATCGACAGGAAGTGACTTCATGACGTCATTTTCACACAGACGATCAGATCGACATGTTTTGCGAGTCCACGACCCCCCTTCTTAAGATCTCCTCTGTCCACCTATCCTGTCTAGAGTGTTAACTCTTTGATGGCCCTGCTTTTTTTTACCCTTTTATGGTATAGGTTGCAATAATACTTTTATGCTACATACTATTTCTATGTGTATGTATTTATATATATATATATATATATATATTATTTTTTTTGCATGTCTATCTTTTTAATTTCAATCTGAACATACCTTTTATTTCTAACAGCATATCACAACCTTAGGCAGCAGTATCTAAAATCCATATAGTACCCCAGGGCTGGACAAATCCTAGGAACCAAGTAGCCAATGTTACTATAAAAATTGCATCTGGTGCCCATCTTTTCAATTTTTCAATGAAGATGGCTCCTAAAAAATGCTACTGGTTCCTGAATTGGGCAGACTGGCTCCTGAGTGCATATAAAAACAGATGACCAAACATACCCTTTATTTCAGCACACTCTTAAGCGCCAAAAAATGTCTGCAATTCACTCTTAACTGAAATTGATGTATTTTCTCCCATTTTAACAAAACCAGTCAAAATAAAAACAAACCAGTAAAGAATAAATAACTTCAGGATGTTTTTGAACACAAAAAGTTGCATTTCATTGTTAAGGTCATATGGGGTTAGTTTGATTTTTTTTTTTCTACATGCCTGCCTCGCATCCAATTCTGGTACTTTTTTTCCACTGCTGCAAATGTAGTGCCTTTCAGACTTTTCTTATGGAATTGGTATGGTGAACTGAAAGAGGGTGCTTCTTATTTCTTGTATATATATTATATCATGAAAATTGTCCCTTACCCTCATCCTTTGTTTATGTTTATGTAGTGTTTACTACATCGACATTGAACTATATAAAATATTCCCTCAGAGTCACAAGTCATTTGGCTCCAATAGTGAAGGTATCTTCCATTTCCATTATTTTTTTTCTAATTCACCCCCAACTTTCTAGATAGCTTTGGTTAGCCGGGGCTAATCTCAATCCCTCCACCCCATATATATACAGTGTGTATATATATATATATATACACATATATATATATATATATATATACTGTATATATATATTTAAAAAAAAAAAAAAAAAAAAA